AACACTTTTTTTTTTTTTAATTTCCTGGCTGCTGGTGCCAAGAGTGTTGACCGTGGAGCCGAGCAAACTGAAGCTGTGAACAATATCAATCTCTTTGTCATCCATCCTGATGCTTCCAATTGGCCCAGTGGTGAGAATCTTTGTCTTCTTGACATTGAGCCGCAGTCCATACTGAAGGCTGAAGTCCTTGACCCTCTGCAGCAACTGCATGAGGTCCTCCTCAGTTTCAGGAAGCAGGGTTGTGTCATCTGCATAACGCAGATTGTTAATAGATCTTCCACCAATCCTGATTTTCCTCATAGAGCCCAGTCTCCTGGATAATCTGCTCTGCATACATAGAGAATATCCTTATTTTAGAGACATAAGACAGATGAAGTCAGGTGCAGAATCTACCAGCCTATGAATCTACCCGCTATGCTAGCATTTCTGCAGTAATTAAATTATGTCTAATAATCTTGTGTATTTATTCCTAGACAGCTGTTTTACTTCTAGTCTCATATCCACAATGATTATTTGCATCCTTCCTTAAATGAATAAAATGTAGAAAAGCCCAAAAAGTGAAGTGTAATAAATTGACTTAATAAAAACAAAATTAGTATTTGAGATAGAAAAATCAGAAATTCCTTTCTGAACAAAACATTGTTTAAGCAAATAGGGAGAAAAGAAAAAAAAATTCAAGTGTTAAGCAGAAGCTGCTCCCTTTCCCCCCACCATTTATCTGTTTATCACATTGTGGTGGCTTTCATTTGGCTGTGATTTGGAAACTCTTTCAAATACCAGTAAGGTCGTCAGTGGAGAACAGTTTCAGGTAGTGTCCAAACTAACACAGACAAAGAAGCAGGACTGACCATCATCCATTTCTGAAAGAACAGACCCCCTTAAGCCCTATGAATAGCAGCAGAAAATTGTTAGATATAGTTCTGGAAGATGAGTTCCTCACAACTGACTAGATTTCAGCTAATAAACAACCTTCATTAGCTGATGTGGAAAGACTTAAACGAAAGAAAACAACTGCAAAGGTCTAGTAATAATTGAAGCATGGATTGTACAAAATATTAATCAAGAAAAACAGAGAATAAAAATGAAATGGAACACATATATATTAACAAGATAAGAGCAACTGAAATCAGTTCTTTTGAATCAGGCAATCATATAAATTACACTGCTAGGAATGAGAAATTAAGTGGAATGGTATGACATGTGTAGTAAAAAAGAGCATTTCAAGGTCAATCCTGAAATATAATGCTGTTGTTGTTATGTGCCATCGAGTCGTTTCCGACTCATAGCGACCCTATGCACAACAGCTCTAAACCCTGCTCTATCCTGCGCCAACCGC